GATGTGAATGGAAGGGGAGAGGGAGCGGGAGAGGGGAGGGTTGTGGGTGGGAGGGAAGTTATGGGGTGGGGGGGAAGCCATTGTAATCCATAAGCTGTACTTCAGAAATTTATATTCATTAAATAAAAGTTAAAAAAATACCAACAACAACAAAAAAGAAATTCAGGCTATCTCTGGGAAAGCAAATGAGGATGACCCAAGTACTTGGACCCATGGCAGCCATGTTGGAGACCAGGATGTGGTTTAAGACTCCTGGCTTCAGCCTATCCCAGCCTGGGGCACTGTGGTTACTTGGAGTGTGAACCAGCAGCAGATGGAGGATCAATTTCCCTCTCCCTCTCCTGCTCCTGGTCCCACACCCACTCCCTCTCTTCCTTCCAAATAAATAAATATTTTCATTAAAAAAATTACAGGCCTTCTGTACACTTACCAAATTAGGAAATAGTGGGGCAGGGCCAGCGGGGAGGAGTGACCAGTAGTCAGTTTGAGTAATAGGCCCTCCAGAGGATTCTGAGGTACTCCTAAATGTGAGAACCACTAGATTGGAGCAATAGATCACGATTCTGGCTGCGTATTAGGCTCACCTGGAGAGCTCTAAAAGAAAAGCCTGGGACACAAAGCCCCTTACCATATCCATTAAATCAGAAATTTTGGAAGTGAGGAGACCTGCGTATTAACATTTTGTCAAATACCTCAGGTCATTCTAATGGAAAATCAAGACTGAGCACTACTGAATTAATTGATGCATCAGCCATGGTGAAGTTGGAACTGGGAGTAGATACTGGACAGCGTTAACATGTTTAATCGAGGGATGATAAGGTTCTTACTAGGGCTGTGTCCTTGGACAGAAAAAAAATAGATGTGAAATACGTTCCAGAGGAAAGGCTATTTTATTGGATCAGGTAACTGTGTGCATATAAAGTGAGAGCAGAACCCAAGATTTTCAAAGCTTCGGAGAAAGGAGAGATTAGTGGCAAAGAATGCTGCCTGCTTCAGAGACATTTAAAAGGATAAATGGAAAAAAGGAATGAGATTTAATCATTTGAAAATCATTAGTAATCCTCAGGACAGTATTTTAGCAATAAGATGAAGCTGATTCAGTGCTAAGGTGGTACTATAAGCAGAGATGGCAGACTACTCTTGATATGAGTTTGTCATGCCTTTAGGGGAGTGTTTTTGAACCCCTACTAGTTCACATCCCTTAATTAAATCCTTTAATATTACTCTACAACCCCGTTTGTTAAATTGTTTACCTCAAGCTTCATGACAGTGAGGATCTTGTTTCACCTTTTCTTACTGCTGTATCACAGCCTGAGCAGTTTATCTGATACATGGTGGGTATTCATTGACTGTTTGCCTCCTAATATATATCTCTCATTTATCTTAAGGCAGGAAATGAGCAGTAGTGGAAATAGTCTAGACCTCAGAGTCAGGCCTGTGTTCTACTTCTTTCAGGGAACTTAACTACCTTTTATTTATAGCATCTAAAAACCCTCACAATTTCTGGTGCATACAAAATTTTTAATAATATTTAGTTGATTAATTATAGAAATGATAAAAAATAACAGTAGTGTGAGAGGCAATAGGGCAGTGGGTAATTATTCTCGAGAGGGAGGGGACTCAAGGATGTTTGGATGTAGAAAGGAAGAAATTTGGAAGTTGACATAGGCTAGTAGGGGAAATACAAAAATAAGCTTGTGAGGAGATAGGCAGAGTTAAATCAAGATGACAAGAAGAGATGTAGACTTACAAGCAAAAAGGCACTATAGTTTGAGTTGGAAATTAAAAGAAGGGTAGACTTAATGTTTTAATGAAATTGTGAACATTCTAAGTGGCTGTTCTACTTCAAAACTCCTAAATGCAGGATGACTTATATCAATATATTTTAAAATACATTGCTAAGCTCACAAGTAACTAAGGGAAATCCAAGGATTGGAGGAGGGCAGGAAGTGCATCAGGGGCAAACTGAAAACTAAGTGGAAAAGTAACGAACCAAAAAGTAATGAGAGGGGTGGGCATTTAGTGTACTAGTTAAGACAATGCTTGAGACACCTACTTACATATCAGAGTGCCTGAATTGGAGTCCTGCCTCTGCTCCAAATTCCTGATTCCTGCTAATATGCACCCATAGTAGCAGCAAATGATTGCTCAAGTGGTCAAGACCTTGCCAAACCTGGATTGAGTTTCAGACTCCTGACTTTGGCCTACTGCAGCACTGGCTGTTGAAGACATTTGAGAAGTGAACCAACAGATGGGAGATATTCTCTCTCTCCCTCCCTCCCTCCCTCCCTTCACTCTGCATGTTGAATACATACTTTTTAAAATTAAATAAAAGTAAGGAGTGCACAGACTGTAATTATTCATGCCAGTAATCTAGAGTTTTTGAAGCTGGAAATGAAATCCTAATCTTTGAGTTTAGGCAAATGGAGAAGCTGCATCTGAGATGCCTGTGTAAATGTGGCCCTCTTGAAGATGCTACATTATTAGTAAAAGGCCAGTTCCAAAATCTGTCACTGATCAGAGCAACCCCAAAAGGAAACTTTTCCTTACCACAGGAGCAGATGGAGAGAAATTAATAATAACAGTATAAATCCATACCCACCTTCAAACTAAAATTTGTTCCAGTTACCTGCTTTAGAAGGGCTGGGGATTTGAATCTATTTAATCCACGTGGTTTGGAAACACAAAGCCTATAAGTTATTCCCATAGAATCTCACCCTTGTTGCCCAGCAAAAACGCAAAAATCATCTATGAATAAAGCATCCTCAACCCAGAGGCTCACAGTCTAAGTTTAGTCAAATAGAAGCACATAGTAATTATCACTAAAAGCATAAACAACCATGAATAAGTTAGAAAAAATAAGAAAGAACAGTTTTAGATATTTATGGACTTTAGATTTTACTGAGAATAGACTTTCATATGGATCTTCAAAGAAACTACATGTAGAGTAAAAATTGGTAGAAAAGAAGAGACTATCTACAATTAATAGAAATATTTGAGAATTAAAACAAAAACAGATCTTAATATAAATTTAACTACTAGTATTAAATCATAATCGATAGCTCAAGAAATGGGTTAAATATAGCTGAAGAATGATGAACTAAAGAAATAACCTGAAGAAATTACCCAGATTGGGACACAGAGAAATTTAAAATATGAAATATAATGTGTGATTGTTTGGCATAAATCTAGCTGGACTTTCAGAGGAAAAAGCTGGAGAGAATGCAAGAGAGGAAATATCTCAAGAAATAGTGGCTGAAGAACTAGCTAAATATGCTTTACAGATTCTAGAATTACAAATTCCTAAATAGGAAGAAAATAAGATCAATATATACCTAAAGACATCATAAAACAAATGGAAAACCTTAAAACAAGCCTGAGAAATGCCAATGCTAGATGCCAACAGAGAATGGAAAAAAAATTCAATGACTGAAACATAAGGTAATAAAAATTGAAAGTAACAGAAGGGTTAAAATTATATCATGCTAATGCTACCTCAGAGAATACTGAAATTGCTCATCAATAGCAGATAAAATCAAATTTAAGGCAAAAATACATAAAGTGCATCAACTCAAGCTAGCCAATAGAAAAATAGGCAAAAAGATTAACAGGAATTTCACAGAATAATAAACAAGAATGAATGCCTACCCTCATTTGTTAAAAAGAAAGTGCAAATAAATCCAATAAAAATACAGTTTTAAACCACCAAAGTGGCAAAAAGTTTAAAGTTTGACAAGATTTGGCAAGGTTTTGAAGCAAGAATTTTTAGTGCTTGATGTAGTATTAATTGATGTAGACTTAGAATACAAAAAAAGTGTAAGATGAAACTGATAGCTTACATCTTATGATTTGATTATTATTTTTAGCCCTTGACTATACCCCTGTGGAAGAATGGTCTTTCTACTTTTTACTTGTTGAACATTATGACTAGTGGTGAACTAACTCTGTGATTATAAAGTAAATTGAAATTATGTTATTTCAAAAATTAAAGGTAAAAAAGAGAGGAAGGAGAGGGATTGAGGTAGAAAAGTAAGAGAAAGAGGGAAGTATGGTTATCTTCATAGAAGTATATCTAAGAAACGCATGAAATCTCTTCTCTTCATATTAATAACTATGTTGAAGATAAATATACTCTAAATCTCATAAATTTATCTCCTGACTATATGTCTAAATAAGCTCTTGCTTATACATGTGAAGAGATATATTTAAGAATATTCATTAGCAGCTAAAATGTGAGAAATATTACAAATGATCATCAAGAAGAATGAATAAATAATGTTATATTCATTCGATGAAACAATTTCTATAGGCATAGATAACTAACTACATGCATCAACATGGATGAATTGCACAAATATAGTGTTAATTAATAAAAGCAACTTGCAGAAGTAAAAACGGGCAAGATGACAAAATTCCTAGAGTGCTCAAAACCATTGTGATTATATTAAGTATTAACACATAGACAAAATTATAACAGAAAGGAATGAAAATGATAAAAAGAAAATCCAGACTAGTGTTTGCCCTTGTGGAGATGGAGGAGAAATAATGAGGATGGAGTCGGCACACAGGAAATCTCACTAGTATGTGTAATATTTGTTTCTTAAGCTTCAGGGTGAATAGTATCTGTTTCTTAAGCTTCAGGGTGGATATATGTGTGTTCATCACAATATTCCTTGTACTCTCTATAAAATTTATACTTGCATTCTATAGCGTACATACCCCATAATTTCTTTATCCAGTCTACTATTGATGGGCATTTAGGTTGATTCCAGGTCTTAGCTATTGTGAATTGAGCTGCAATAAACATTAAGGTGCAGACAGCTTTTTTATTTGCCAATTTAATTTCCTTTGGGTACATTCCAAGGAGAGGGATGGCTGGGTTGTATGGTTGGGTTATATTCAGGTTTCTGAGGAATCTCCAGACTGACTTCCATAGTGGCTTTACCAGTTTGCACACCCACGAGCAGTGGGTTAGTGTCCATTTTCACCCACATCCTTACCAGCATCTGTTGTTGGTAGATTTCTGTATGTGAGCCATTCAAACTGGGGTGAGGTATACAGCAGTAAAAGACAATGAAATCCGGTCATTTGCAACAAAATGGAGGAATCTGGAAAACATCATGCTGAGTGAAATAAGCCAGTCCCAAAGTGGCAAATATCATGTTGTCCCCGATCGGTGACAACTAACCGAGCACCAAAAAGAAAACCTGTTGAAGTGAAATGGACACTATGAGAAACGGTGACTTGATCAGCCCTTGCCCTGACTGTTGATGAACAACTTAATACTTTATCCCTTTTAGTATTTATTTTGTTCTACTTAATACTATTGGTTGAACTCTGTAATTAACACACAATTATTCTTAGGTGTTTAAATTTAACTGAAAAATGATCTCTGTTAAATATAAGAGTGGGAATAAGAGAGGGAGGAGATGTACAGTTTGGGACATGCTCAATCGGACTTGCCCCAAATCGTAGTTAGAAATGTGCCAGGGGATTCCAATTCAATCCCATCAAGCTGGCATGTACCGATGCCATCTCACTAGTCCAAGTGATCAGTTTCAGTTCACAATTGATCACACTGATAGCTCTAATAGTCAAAGGGATCACACAAACAAGACAAGGGTCTGCAAATACTAACTGAAAGAATTAAAAAGGAGAGAATGTTCCAACATGGGAAGCGGGATACACGGCAGATTCATAGAATGGCAGATATCCTAAAGAGCACTCTGGCCTCAGAATCAGCCCTTAAGGCATTCGGGTCCAGCTGAAAAGCCCATGAGATTATTATAGGCATGGAAAGCCAGCCAAGACACTCTGGCAAAAAAAAAAAAACACCTAAACCTAAATGGAAGATCTCTGTGAGTGAGATCCCAGGGGAAAAAGCAGGCCATCAAAGAAGGAGGTACCTTTCTCTGAAGGGAGGAGAGAACTTCCACTTTGACTATGACTATGACCTTGTCTAAATAAGATAGGAGTTGGCGAACTCAAGAGGCTCCCATAGCCTTGGCAACCCATGACCAAAGCCTTGGGTGATTACCGACGCCATAAACAAGAGTGTCAATTGTTAAATCAACAACAGGAGTCACTGTACAATCACTTCCCGTGTAGTATCTCTGTCCTTAATGTGATGTACAATGTAAATTAATGCTATAACTAGGACTCAAACAGTACTTTACAATTTGTGTTTCTGTGTGGGTGCAAACTGTTGAAAGCTTTACTTAATTTATACTAAATTGATCTTTTGATCTTCTGTATATAAAGATAATTGAAAATGAATCTTGATGCAAATGGAATGGGAGAGGGAGCGGGAGATGGGAGGGTTGTGGATGGGAGGGAAGTTATGGGGGGAAGCTACTGTAATCCAAAAGCTGTACTTTGGACATTTATATTTATTAAATAAATGTTAAAAATTATACTTGTATATGCACATGCTTATGTATTCATTTCTATATGCTAAATATCTCATAATACAAAATCAGAGAAGCTAATTATGCAGAGGGGGAAGATGATCAGCTGTGCATGATGAGGGGCATTATGATGGAATTAGAAGATAGGAAAGAATAATGGGCACTTAGGGAAGCTACTGTGGGCAGTATGATAGGAAATCAACACTAGATCTCCAAACTAATTCTGAGAAAGCACCCAGTGGGCCCTCTAAGGCTCTGTGCTGACAAAATAAAATCATTCCTTGGTCACGCCTTCCTTTCCTTGGCTCTACGTCCTATTAGTAGCCCTATAACTTCCATTTGTTGAGTGCTTACCATGTGCCAGTTACATTTTACATGTATTATTGTACTTATCTTACATATGAGAAAATTGTGGACCAGAGTTTCTATAGTTTGCCCAAGATCACACAGCTGGTAGTAGTAACTAATAGAACTCATAGGAGATGGCAGTAGAGCCAGCATTAAAACCAGCTCTCTGTGGCTTCAAAACTTGTGTTCTTACCATTGTACTCTCTCTCTTTTCCCCACATCCTTTTATGCTATTTCCAAGTTATAATTTCTAGCGCTCTGTGAGATGTATCCTGCTTTGGTTTCGTCTAATCTTCCCCATGATTAGTATTAACAGATTGTGAGTTCAGTACTATGAGAAAATATCATACTAAGATGGAAAAAGAGTGTCTAATTATGACTTCTGCTTCTGATAGTGTTACCAAGGGAAATGGTGAAAGAGTGAAACTGCCATGTTAAACTGGCAACCATAAAATGTCAGGTATTTATTCCAAAATCCTCTAGATTCTTTAACATAACAAGCTATGGTATCATTACATGAATTTACATATAATGTGGGTACATAAATATTTGGCAAAGATGAAAGTAGATAATGATCTGGGGTAACTAATAGAGCACCTAAAAGGTAATCTATAGGAGTGAAATTGACACTTTTAGATGCTATGATTTTGAACAGCCCTTGTCTTGACTGTTGATGAACAATGTTTTTTTTTTCTTTTTCCTGATACTAGTTGTTCAACTCTTTACTTAATGTATGGTTAATCTTATGAGTATAAAGTTAGTTGAAAATAGATCTTTGTAAAAAATTAGAATGGAGGGGCCAGTCTGTGGCGTAATGGGTAAAACCGCCACCTGCAGTGCTAGTATCCCATGTGGGTGCTGGTTCCGGTCCTGGTTGCTCCATTTCTGATCCAGCTCTCCACTAGGGCCTGGGAAAGCAGAGGAGGCTGGCTTAAGTTCTGGGGCCCCTGCACCCATATGGCAGACCCAAAGGAAGCTCCTGGCTTAGGACTGGCACAGCTCCAGCCATTGCGGCCATCTCTCTCTCTCTGCCTCTCTCTCTCTCTCTCTCTGCCTCTCTCTCTCTCTCTCTCTCTGCCTCTCCCTCTCCTCCCTCTCTGTAACTCTGCCTTTTAAATAAATAAATAAATCTTTCAAAATATAAGAATGGCAATAAAAGAGGGAGAAGGAAGAAGGGTGAGAGTGAGGGCCAGAGGGAGGGTAGATTGGGAAAAAATCGCTATGTTCCTGAATCTGTATAAAGGAAATGCAGAAAAATTTGTATACTTTAAATACAATTTTAAAAATAAAAATAAATAAAAAAGCTTTAAAAAAAAGAAAGTAGATGATGTAAACTTTTAAGTGTCACCCCAGAATTAAAAATACAGTAGTACTATGATCTCTATACTGAAAGAACTATCTCAAACCTCAGCCTGCCTCTGCTCCAAAATATCCAAAATTCATTTCAAATTCTTTTTCTCATCCTTTATAGCGTAGACAACTGGATTTACCTCAGGCTTCATGTGTGTAACCTGTGATGTAGTTTGAAACACACAAAGTCCTAATAACACTTTGCTGGATTAACACCACAATCCGCAAACCAGACCTCAAAGAGAACATTGGATAATGAAAGACTTGTGATCTGTCTAAACTTTGGTTGAAATAATCCCTCAATAAAGAAATAACACACAGTATATGAGACACGTGTTTAACTAGGATCACAATCTTTCTTTCTGGTGGACAAATAATTAAAATAGTGTTGATAATCAGATACAGAGTTCATTGGTTGTTTCCTAAATGTTATCTTTAATAAAGAGCCTCATCAACTAATGTCATGTGTCTTTCAATTTTCACATAATTAGGAATAAAGTTTGAGACTGCAGAAGACAGAAATCATGGAATAACATAGAAAATACTGATTATTTTTCTGGCCAAGGACTAGTTTTACTCCTGATTTTTAATATTCGCAGTCCAGAATTGGAATGGATAAGGAAACAGGAAAAAGCCTTAATTGACAATATAATGCCCACAAGCATCAACAGATGTGATCCCTTGGAATGAAGCATGTGGGTCTAATTTGGCATCACAAACCACTTGGAGGATCTCCTTGCTGAGTTCTTGCAGGCTATCCTTCTAAACCTATGTTTGGCTGGCACCTGTGCCCTGTTGAAACTGGCATACCACCCTATGGGTGGGCACAGTGCCACCCTAACAGATGGCCATGAAAGTCATCATGCCAGAGAACTACTATTGTTTCTAGCAAGTTCAACTTAACAGCAATTGGCTTCTGCTAAAGAACGACAAAATGGTGGTCTACCTTTCTGTGGAGGATAAACTATTATCTGAAGTTGACATTTCTAAAATTGGCATTTCTGAGTCATTTCGCATACTAAATGAAGGCCTACAAGGTAAGAAATTGTACTCCAACATGGTGTGATCATACTAAGTGCTAGTGAAAAGAAAGAACAATGTATTTCCACATTGTAAAATAAGTCCAAAATCCTGATTTTTTAGAGGTAATAAACAATTAAAATCCAATATAGTTATAACTAATATTTTAAAATATTTAGAATGAACTTTCTATGTGGTCACATACCTAGGCCTGTTCCCATTTTTAAGACACACGTGTTCTGTTAACAACACCTAAGTAGTTCAGGAACATGTACTTTTTGAGGGAGAACATTCACTTTTAAAACTCATGCATTTATGAAGGGAAGGCAGTGAAGGATGGCTCAAGTGCTTGGGCCCTGTACCCACATGGGAGACCAGGAGGAAGCACCTGGCTCCTGGCTTCGGATTGGCACAACTCTGGCCATAGCGGCCATTTGGGGGGTGAACCAACAGAAGGAAGACATTTCTCTCTGTCTCTCTCTCTCACTGTCTAACTCTGCCTGTCAAAAAAAAAATTTTGATTAAAAAAAAACTCATACATTTATGAATAATGGTTGGAAACGTTATATAAGAAGTCCAACAGATTTTTTATGTCAAAAGTCATCATCATGCAGAGTCAAAAAGCATCCTGAAAGGATTATAGGTATAACTAATGGCCCAAATGCGGGCAGAATACCATAAAGGTAAGAGAGGATATGGAAAGGTTAGTAGAAACTGAAGGGGTCAGTGATGAATTCAATCAACAGTAAAGATTATGTAGGCCGGGGGCTGACACTGTGGTACAATGAGTTAAAGCCCTGGCCTGAAGAGCCAGCATTCCATATGGGTGCCGGCTCTAGTCCCGGCTGCTCCTCTTCCAATCCAGCTCTCTGCTATGGCCTGGGAAAGCAGCAGAAGATGGCCCAAGTCCTTGGGTCCCTGCACCCACTTGGGAGACCTGGAAGAAGCTCCAGGCTCCTGGCTTCAGATAGGCACAGCTCCTGCCATTGCGGGCCAACTGGGGAGTGAACCATCAATGGAAGACCTCTCTCTCTCTCTCTGCCTCTCCTCTCTCTGTGTAACTCTGATTTTCAAATAAATAAATAAATCTTTAAAAAAAAGATTATGTAGGCCTATTTAAGTCTATATAAAAGAAAATAAAAGGGAGCTTACCTTTTATGAGCACCTACTATGTGTCAACCACAATTGAATGCACTTACAGGCAGTCCTCACCTCACTTAATTTGAATATGCGTGAATTTCAGTTACCACAATCTAAGTAACACCAATCCCCCAACTGCAAAGTACAAATTTCACTTATCACAGTAGATTAACTGTAACTGCATAAGCCACAGACTTCAAGGCTGGCTCTTCAATCCACAAATGTACTATATAATGACAGACACAACTCATGATTCATGATCAATTCCATCACTTCTTTCAAAGTCTGTAAGTTCATCACTGAGCAATTGTTATTCAGTTCTGGCACATGCAATAATATATGCAGTTATGTTGCCTCCTTGTCTCTCAGTGATGACTCCATGGAACATTCTACAAAAAATGGATAATTGAAACAGGGAATTGACCCACAAAGACAAAGTGTAGCAAAGAAAGAATAAGTGTGAGGCCAGTACTGTGGCATAGCGGGTAAAGCCGCCACCTGCAGTGCAGGCATCCCATACAGGTACAAGTTTGATTCCTGGCTGCTCCACTTCTGCTCCAGCTCTCTGCTATGGCCTGGGAAGGCAATAAAATATGGCCCCAGTGCTTGGACTCCGGCACCCACGTGGGAGACCCAGAAGAAGCTCTTGGCTCCTGGCTTTGGATTTCCCAGCTCCTGCCATTGTGGCCATCTTGGGAGGGAATCAGCAGATAGAAGAATTTCTCTCTCTCTCTCTCTCTCTCTCTCTCTCTGCCTCTCTGTATCTCTACCTTTCAAATATATAAATAAATCTTTTTGAAAAAAAAGAAAGAATAAGTGTTAATGCTGGAAGTGAAATCTGAATCAAACATAAACAGATTTATAGAAAGGAAACTTGTATTTGTATATGGTACTGTTGACACTGATCCTAGTTATATATGAAGTCAGAGGAACTTAGTTAAGGTGAGCTAATCAACAAAAATTAGGAAAGTAGTGTAAGACAAAAATATAAGTTTCCAAAGGAGGTAACACAGGCAAAAATCTTTGCAATAAAGAGATTCTTTGAGA